TGAGGGGCCCGGCCTGGGCGTGGGCCGGGGGCGTGGGCTTGGGCGTTCCCAAAGGCCTGTGGGGAGTGCTAGGGGCCCCGTGGGCTGTGTGACTGGAGTGGGATCCTGTGTCCCTGGGGAGGCCCTGGACAGCTGGCAGGGGGCTGTGGGACAGCAGTCCTGGCACTGAGCCTCTCCAGGTGCCTGCAGGTGTGAAGGAGGACTCGTTCAACGTGCTGGACCTGGCGGAGTACACGAAGAACCAGCCCTGGTGGCGCAAGGTCTTCGCCCCCAGCTCGGGGTCAAGTGCCGAGAAATACAATGTGGCCACGCAGCTGGTGATCGGAGGGGTCACAGGATGGTAAGATGTGCTGGATTGCCGTTGCTGCTCGTGGCAGGCATGATGCCTGCAGGCGCTAGCTGGGTTTTTGGGAACATGCTGACAGGTGCAGGGTGGTCATCTGGCAGTCCTTCAGAGAAGGCAGGTGTCCAGCTTGCCCAGCCCACCGTGCTCTGGCATGCTGTGCTGAACTGTGGGAGGTCTTAAAAGCTGCTTCTAACATGGAGCTGAAGAACTGAGACTATCTCCTAGGAAACAAAATGGCATCAAGCTTTAATTTTTGAGGTGACATCATTGTCTTTAACTTCTAGCATAAAGTCATGGAGTTGACTTTAGGACAGGCAAATATGAGCCTCTTGGAACAAGGATACCTTCTTCCCTGGAGGTGGACGTATTTCAGGCATCTGCACAAAAACCTCCTGTGGAGGTAGCTTATTGTGCCTCTGGGCATGGTTCCTGGGGTTTTGTGTCACTTGTAGCAAGCGCTGGGCCTTGTGGCTCTGTTTGCAACTTCCCACAGCAGCATTGTTTGAGTTGAAAACTTGGAGTAATCACACTGCTTTGCTTCTTGCTGAGCCTGTCGTCTTCATCTGGCACAGCGATAACCGTTTAAAAGTGTATGACAGATCTTCATTTTCTGGTAAAAATATGAGCTGGCCACCTCTCTCTTGTATCTTCACTAAGTATGAATTCAGAAATGGGTAAGCAGGTTGCTGTGTTGTTTTGCAATGTTGATAGGGAAACCATGGTCCAAGTAAAGTCCGCTTTGGGTGATACAATACACTAGCCCTTTGCTGCATGACTGAGCAATGGGGTGGTGCTTTCTTGAGTTCTAGTGGCTGCAATGATGTCTTTCATGTTGAGAGCATGTAAGCCAGTTTGGAGATGAGTATAGCTTTAGACCAACCACTGCTGGCTGCTTGTTTCAGCATATTTCTCTTCTGAGAAATGAAAAGTAAGCAGTTGTTTGGGCAACAAAGAAGCTTGCCTTGTGATCTGGTCTCCATGCTGTATCATGGAGCAGCAGCAGATGTGCTGCCTAATTTCCCTTCAGAGATGATAGCAGTTAAAAAAAAAAAGAAAAAAGTAAAATCACTTGTTGATTTTGGTGATATCACATGTTTCCGATTACTCTTTTGGGAGAAGGTGAATGTTGAAGAGGTAAGAATCAAAACTGCAGAAGGCTGAAATGCGATAGTGATTTAGGCTATAAAAGGCTATAAAAGGCTATAAAGCATCAGTTTTGGCTGGGTGCAAATCCTTTTTCTGGTTGCATGTGGGTTTCTTCTACTGTTCATCAGGCTGTCTCCGAGTCTTGGTTAATTACTAACAAAAGGCAGTCTTGCTTGTGGGAAGCACGCTGAGGGGTGTGTGTTTGGTACCTCATTCTCCTGACTGGATTCTGGTTGATTTGTAGGTGTACTGGATTCATCTTCCAGAAAGTTGGAAAGCTGGCAGCGACAGCAGTGGGAGGTGGCTTTTTCCTACTTCAGGTGTGTATGAACAGTGGGCCAGGCTTTCTGAGAACTGTGCTGATGGGGAGAAAGGGCTGTCTGGTGATCATTACCTGTTGGCACATGTGGGGCCAGTTCCTCACTCTGCCAGGAGCTCTGTGTGGCCATGGATGTCAAGAGCCTGCGTTCTCCAGAGTACATAGATGCAGCAGCAAAGCAGGATCAGTGTGCATAAACTTAAGGATTGCCAAAAGGTGCCATTCGCTTAGGATGCGCCAGGCCAAAGGCACGTGGGGACTGTTACTGCAGGGGCACCTGAGTGAAGCAGGAGGTAGCCTTTGGCTGTGGCAAACCATGCTGCTGCTGCGGGACTGTGGTCTGAACTGGCTACTGTACTTAGTCTTATGCCTGTGGAGATGGTGTCCCTGGAGGAACAGCCATGGATGTCAAGAGGGATTTGTCCATGTCTATGATATCCTTCCTGTCGGTCTGACTCCCTGAGGACTCAGGCCAGCACAGATGGGGCTCTCTGTAAAGCATTGGGGAAGAGGAGAGAAAGAGAGATCTCTGTCCTCAACCATTTCTCCTGGTTTCCAAGAACCCTGACACTGAGGGGAGCTGCTTGGATGTGGACATCTAGGTTGTACATCCTGCAGGCAACAAAAGAGCTCTTGGGCTCTCTCGCTGAGCAGAACTTGTTTACTTTTCAGGCGCTGTCTTGCCTGTGACTCGTTCTCCGCACTCTTCTGGCTCTGTTTGTTCTGCTGAAAGCCAAAAGCTTGCTCTGAGCAGCAAGAGTTTCACTGCTGAATCATCCTGACCAGATAAAATATTTAGAGAGGAACAGGCTATTAATAGCTGTGTCCACCCACAGCAGCAGGAGAGCTGCAGAGAGATCCCAACGATATACGTGGCAGTTGTGAGGGGGAGGTGATGCCAGCTTTACATTAGAGAATAGAGGCTGAAACAGGCTAAGCTGCAGCATGTGCCCAGCTGTTAGGGGATTACTGTGGGGGACAGATGTTGCAGGACAGTTAATACAGCTATGGGAGTGGTCCTTTGTCCAGTTTTTAAGCTAGTGTGCTCATCCTCTCAGCCCACCGGACCAGTGTGTGAGAAGTGTCTGTGGTCAGGGAAGGTGGGTGGGCAAGGGGGTCTGTTGTGGTCATGCAGGAGTTTATTCCAGGAACTTTCTTTCCACCCCTCAAAACTCTAGATTGCAAACCACACAGGATACATCAAAGTGGACTGGAAGCTAGTAGAACGGGACGTAAACAAAGCCAAGCAGCAGCTGAAATTTCACAGCAGTGGTAACAAAATGCCTCCAGAAGTGAAAAGCAGAGTGGATGAGGTGAGACAACTCTCCCAGGGTGTGTGCAGGTGCTTAGCTGGAGGGACAGCAGAAAATGGGATTGACTCCTGGGCTCTTACGGATCTTCCATTGTACAAATACAAGGAGGGAATGCTTGCATGATAGCAAAACTGGAGAGATGGCAAAGCTATCTGTGCATGTTTGTGACAGTCAGGGTGCCTTCTAGGCATGACACTAGCTCACCATGTGTTGCTGCAAACTCCTTGGGTTAGGGAGAAAACGTTGCTGGGGTTGTGGGGAGAAGTGTCTCCTCAGTCTGACAAGAAAAGCTAAGCAGATCTGGCAGCAGAGTGACCTGGTTACCCTGGACTCTGCTGTACCCTGGTTTGGCACACACAGTCAGCAGCCCCTTCTGTCAGACTGTGCTGGTTGTGAGAGAGCCCTGGAGCATGTAGGCTCGGACTGCAGCTCTCAGAGGGTCTGGGCTGTACTGGGACTGGATCAGTTCAGGAGCTGTACATGCAGCAGGGGGATTAGGGAGGGGAGGTCATTAGGTAGGATATTTTCCCAGACCCGAGCAGTGGCCTCTCTCTGAGCATCACTCACCTGGGAGAACAGCCTGAGGGATGTCTTCTTACGGGGAGGGTGGGTGCATGACCTGCTGTTGTTGAACACTGTTGGCTCTTCTCTCCCCTGTTTAGGTGATCATATTTCTGAAGAAGAATGTTATCCTGACTGGAGGGTTTGCTGGAGGATTCCTGCTTGGAATGGCGTCCTAGAAACTGCGCTTGACTCTCCCTTCATGCCCAGCCTCCCCGGCCCTCCTGTACTGCTGTTCTCTCTCACTTAGAAGTCAAAGGATGTTGCTGACAGGCTCAGTCCCTCTGCTCACAGGTTCCAGCCCTTATGTCTTACAATGCTGCTTCTGATTTCCAATTTTTTCCTCTGTCTGGGCTGTTAGGTTGCTGGGATCAGTCTGAAAGCTTATGGCTCCCAGTGTATCATTGTGATTCATTTCCCCACCAAATATGCCCAGTTCCAAATTTTCTGATGAGTTGCAGCCTCATAAACATGTAGTGGCAGAGAAGTTTCTTAAACGTGCTTCCTCCCAGGTGCTCAGGGTTGTTACATGTACATTTGTCTGCCAGTATATGTGTAAAACAGCTGTCAGCTGTTCACTGCTATTTACCTTGCACTTTTTCTGCCCCGGTACCTAGAAAGCCTGTGCTTCCCTCTGCACAGAGATGGTGTGTGCAATCCAAAATGTGCTTGGCTGTCCTGGGGTGGATGCAGAAGTGTCAGGGGATAGCCTGGGCTGTGTCCAGGGCAGGTAGATAAGGAGCAAGTTCATGTTCTGTGTGGTGCGTGGGGTTCTCCTGCCCTTCCCGGGCCATTGCACTGCACATAGATGGCCACTTGGCTGGTCCTCTGCTGTTATTTATACTCCTTACTGGAATTGCAGCACTGGCACTGCTAGTGGAAACTGAGCACCGTGGGTGGCTCTCCAGGCCCTTTCCTCATCATGTGTTCTGAAAGTCACCAACCTTCCTGCACTGTAGAGCGCCTTTCTCATTTGCTAGCTGACTGCTCAGCCTTTGAAGTGTGCTGAGGTGCTCCCTTGTGGTGGGCCGGCTTCCAGTGTGCTTGACCTGTCTGTCAGGCTAGCTGGCGCAGCTGGTGTGTGTTTCAGCTGTGACACTTACTGTAAATCACCTTGGGCTTCAGACTAGTGTTTCTAGGTCTACTGTGACTTCTGGCCACTTTGGTGTTGGTGATGCTCTTAGAGCTGTAACCATGTGGGACAGGATTGTAGCCAGGCAATGCATCCCTGTTTAGGGTACATTGTACTAGTCCAGGGTTCCTGTTGCCAGCTCTACTGGGGGGGGGGGAGGATGTGAAATCTGGAGCACAGTCCTTTACCTGCCTCTGCAGAGCATCTCCTGGGACTCTGGGAGCAACTGGAATGACAAAACTTGTTGGGAAAATCAGGTTATGCTCTTATGGGAGTGGCTCATTTCCATAGTTTCTGCCTTGGTTTTGTTCGTTCCTTCTTTGCGTTTACCATTTCCACAAAAAAAAAGCTGCTTGCTTAATTCCATCAGCTGTAGCCCTTCTCCTGCAGGTGACGAGGCAGCCAAGGTGCAGAACTGAGCTGTTTCTGGACAGTCTGTCCCAGTGCAGCTGCCTGCAGAGCAGAATTCTAACCTACAAGAGGAAAAAATAAAATCCCTTAGGGATGTTTTGCATTGGCTGTGATGTGCTGACATTACTGCTTTCCAGAGTGCAGGGACTTGCATGATGTCGGGGTGGTGTCCTCCAGCAGGTACATGTAGGAGTTCTTGCCAAAAATGTTTTTTAATGTGAAACTCAGTCCATCTGTCAGTGGGAAACATGCTAGGGAATGATGACACGCATGAGTGATTGGGACACAAGCACCTTGCTCAGCAGCTGCACCCTGTCTCTCAGTATGGCTAGAAGTGGGGATCTTCCCCCAAAAGCTGCTGGAAGAGCTGGAACGGTGGGTTCTTCCACCAGAGGTTTTGGGATGAACACTTGTGGTTGCTAATTTTGTTTCAGCTCTCTTGATTCAAGTGTCAGTGTAGCAACACACTGATTTAGCTGAGGTTTTTTCACCTTCAGGATCTGAAAAGAGGCTTGTAGGTAATCAGGCAACAGAACTTGATATCTTTGCTCCTGTCCTGCCATGGAGAATGAAAGAGCGGCTGGGCTTACGTCCTTTTAATGATGGTCTTCCTAAAAGCCAACCAGGAGTGATGTGATGCAACAAACAGGTCTTCAGTAAATTGGTGTTTGGGAGTGGAGTGGCAATTGATGCTGATGGTTAGGTTTTGTTTTTTGTTTTTTTGTAGGAAGCCGGTAGGGCTGAAGGTGCATGAATTGATACATTTATATTGCAGGGTATATCTTGTTCCTGTAGGAACACAGCATTGCTGCCTCTCTGCCTCCTGTGCTGCATAACACAACCTCTTCTGAGATGCAGTAATCTCCACAAAGCTTCCTCCAATGACAAAGCTCAAAGTAAATCATTAACAGACCATAGGGATGTTTTTCAGGCTAAAAAAGTCACCATTTCTGCCCAGCCACCGGGAAGGGTGTACTGGGTTCTGCTCCACAGGTCCTGCTATGGAGAGAAATAGCCCAGAGAGGGAGCTAAAACGCCTCAATTGCTGCTGAAAGGGGAAACAAGTGACAAATTCATCTTGAGTTTGATGTGAATGCAGGCAGGGAATGGACAAGGACCTCAAGATCTGGCAGATCTTTGTGCTGTGCCAGTGTCAGGCTCGTGGCTGGCACCGTTTGATGATGTGAGCCCACACTGGAAGCTTAGGTAGATGTCTGTGGGGATGCATTTTCATTGTTGGAGGTGCCAAGATGAGGTGTTCCCCCCCCTCCCCACCCTTGCTCCTTTTGGTCTTGTTTCAACAACTTCTGGCGTCTGTTCCAGTATGAGGAAGTTTAAAACACACTAGGCTTTTAAAGTGTTTTTATATATTGTATGTAAATGCTTGTTGAAGTGATATTTTATTAAACAGTTTTGCTCTAATAGCTTCTGTATGTGAGGTCTGTTTTACTTCTTGGGAACCAGCAAGGTTTTGTCTTACCCTGTGTGTTGCACTTGACTTATGGAAGCAGTTGCAGCCAGTCTGGTAGCATGGGGCCACCAGCCTTCCCTGTTATCTGCAGGTAAGCATGGGCTGCCATAATAAACCCCTCTCCTTGATGATCCTGGCACCAATCACCTATGTTCCCAAAATGTGGAATGCTTCTGGGGCAGGAGGCGATACTGCTGCCATCCTGGCTTCAGAGCCTCCCTGCTGAGCAAGTTTGCTCCATTTGAGCAGAAATGGCCATGGAGACGAGGCTTTTCTTTTTAATAGGCACAACAGAAGCCTAAATATTTTTTTTTATCATCTATTAGTGACTTTCTTTCCACTGCTGATGCTCAGATAGGGCAAAATGGAAAAACTAGCTACTTTCAAGTATTTGAGCTGCTTCACAACATTGTCATCACTTTCCCCTACTTCTCAAGAATACTGAAACCCCTATTTTGCCTTAAGGGTTTTTTTTGGGGGGGGGGGAAGGGAGGCAGGAGGGCAAGGCTAGCCCTGAATTATTCTGATCTTGAGCCCCAGTTATAAAAATATCAAGCAGCTTCTATTTAAACGTGATGATATCACATGTAGCTCTGGACTGTGAACAGCAGCCAAGCTGCCTGGCTTGCAGCTATGTTGTATTCTCAATAAACAACCAAACTGAGACTACAATTTGTTCCAGTCATTTATTTTGTATTATGGTATTTCAGAGCAGTGAATACAGATGGTTTGCTCTTCTAGGCTTCAATACACTCAACTATTGTGCCTAGACTACAGTGGTCTGTTTATAGAAGCTGTATTTCATAAGTAAGTTGTACTTGATCACAGCACAAAAGTCCTTTACGGCTAGATCTAATGACAGAGTTAGGGGCCTAGTGGGTTCGAAGTCTGATAATTGAAGTGCCTAGGCCCTGTAATGGACTTGGCACCCACTGAGGTGCCTGGACTCCTGCTACAGGGGACGGAGAGACTTGGGCAGCTCTGAAAGGTGATGCAGGAACCTGTCTACCAAGCTCTTCCTACAGGCCACAGGAAATTCTGCTGCACGGGTGAGAGCTTCTGAAAATCCATGTCTCCCTGGGGTCCAGACACAGCCGGCTTGTGAGTGAGTCTGGAATGCTGTGTTGAAAGCAACTGCCTACAACTGCTTGTTCAGTAAGCAGCACCTAAATCAGTTCTTGGATCTAGCCCAGGGCTTTGTGACAGGCCTCTGGGTACCAGCGGGTTGAACTATGCTGGGTTCGTAACATATTGCTTAAAGGTGTTCAATTATACATAAATGTATAAATTTTATATCAACAGTCAGATCTTTCAAATGAATATTGCTTTTAAAAAAAATAAATCCTATTCCTGTAGCAATCCCTGAAATAATGTTCCTGTAACATCTTTGTCATGCAAATAGCAGCGTGTAGGCAATTCAAATATAAAGTAACCAAAAGTCTGTCCAGTGGGAAAGTGAGGCACTTAGGCAAAGTGACGTGTAGTCACTCGTGTTCTATGCAAGACCTAGGAACAATCCCCAGACCTGATTCCCATTCTTGAGCTTGAACCACTGGACAGGCAAATGTTGTCTGGAACTACTGCATGGTGGCAGCAATACCTTTGCTGTGTCAAGATGGGCTTGTTTCATGTGTCACACTTAAACTCACTCACTCTTCTGAGCTCATTTCCTGTACCTCTCGCTCCAGAAGCCAGAATAACTTGGTTCCAGTTCTCCATTTTGAGAGCAAGGATGGATTAGAGTAAGGTAAGCATTCTAAAAACATCAAGTTGACTTTTCACAGACACAGGTGCGATGCAAAGACAATGTAGATGATGTTTTGGTACAGAAAATAAAGTCTGTTAACCAGGTCATCTGTTGGTACTGCGTTATACTTTTTGGTGTGCCGGATGGTGTGTTCTAGGAGCAATCTGGCTTTCCTGAAAGTCTAAAGAAGGCTTGAAAAAACACACACGAGCTCTGCAGGTGAGTCCATGCTCCAGCACCTGCTGGAGCTGCATTGTGTTACTGAGGTGGTGGGGGAATTCCTTCTGAAGTTGCCTTAAGCTTTTCTCTCTCCCTTTCTTCTTTCTCAAACCCTGAACAACAGATGGATCTGCCCTTGGGGTACCGGGCGCAGCACTTCCGCATTTCCTGAAGCACGGTTTCACACTTAGACTCCATGTAGTTGTTCACTGGAAAATAAGAAGGAGACACTAAGTCTGCAGAGGGGAACAGGTTTTGTCCCCAGAGGGGACACATCTAGCCCAGTCCTTCAGCTGCTGGGCAGCATGTTTCTCTCAAAAGCCAGAGCTGCTTACAAGCATTTCATCCCTTTCTCTGCTCTACAAAAACCTCTCTCTAGTTTCAGCTATCTAAAGCCACGTAAAGACAGCCTTGTTGTTGTGGATGGGACCATCTTCAGTCCTCCAATTTTGTAGGTATCACATTCCACTACAGTAAGAAGAATGAGGTTTCCTTTATTGCTGCCCTACAATCCTTACTTTCTTTAGCCTGTGTGCTTTTAAGCTAGATCTTGTCATCCATGGTCTTCAAGCCAGCTGCCATGTCACTATAAGGTTTACAGCTGAGTGTAAATTGAAGAGCATCCAAAGAGGACTTTGGTATAAACAGGGACATGTGCACCCTTCAGCACTGTGGGGTTTGTAAAAGGAAGGGGTGAGGAGCATGACTGCCAACCTCCTACCTGTGGCCTGTTGTGGGCAGGCTGTGGCTTTGCAGCAGATCTGAAGCAGGCAGGAGCACCTTAGAGGGAATGCTTAGCCATACGCCAGCAGCTAAATCCAACTGCACAGAGCCAGTGACACGACCACCTTCCACACAAAGGTCCCACCTCTACCTCAGGAGGTCCCTCAGCCACACAACTGTTACTTGACCTCCTCTTGCTTTCCTTCCTAGGTTCTTCCTCTTGGACGCTGCCAGAGCTGGGACATGAGGCTAAACGAGCTCCTAGTCTGACCTGGGATGACTGGGCTCATGCCTTTGTGCATAGGCACACCTATGCCTACCTCTGTACTTTCTCCACACAGTCTTTGGTTCACGCTCGGAGAGATTTCACTGCACTGGCAGGTTCAGGCATTGCAGGACACAAGTGATGTGTCTAGCATCCTTTCTGCCCTAGCGCTTTGCTGGCTGCCACTGTCAGCTGAGGTGGCAAAGCCCACAGTGCTTTGCAGCGCTGGCCACCAGGCTCTCGGAGAGAAGCCCTGCGGGTATGTGAGCAGACTGAGTCTGTGGCTTGAATTAATAACTTCCTGCCTGTCTGCATAGAAGCGCAGGGTGTGCAGAGCTACCCGCTGCCTTGGATAAGCTACACAACCACTACACAGCTGCCCTCACCCCACCACTGATTTTTCAAAGACTAAAAGAAGCAACAGCAACCCAATATGAGACAAACAGCACCCACTGGAGAGGGCAGAAAGCAGCAGTGAATGCCTTCCGGTTAACAAGCAAGCCAGCCCGCTGGAATTGCTGGGCTATGAATTCCCTGATCGGGTTGGTGAGTGACCTGTAACACAAGCACAGAGGTCACCTCTGAATAAAATGTTATGGTGATGTTACTTCTTTGCAAGCTGGCAGCCTAGGAGGCATGGCAGACCCTTGGAGAGGACAGCTACTCTCTCTCTGCCATAACCTGCCAATGATGAGTGCTCTGAGGCTCTCCTGTTTCTCTCCTTGTGCAGGTTTGTTTCTAAAACTACAGCTCCATACAGGCACACCCCACTATCTGCCAGGGATACATTCCTGAAAAGCACAACGGTTAGTCGCACAACAGATGATAGCAAAACACAAGAGAGATTTACAGTGGGAATTCTGTCTTTCAGAGGAAGCAGGCAAGATCTTTTGAAAAAACAGCTCACTCCAAAACCACCTGTTGAAAAGCAAGCATCTCCCAAAGGTTCTGCTTCTGCCCTCCATCCTCTGCACTCACTGTCTCTACATCTTTGGCTCTGTTAAGGCTCTGTATACATCCCCTATTGCATTAATTCTTAGAGGGAAACATTGCTTTGCTGTCTGTCAACTCAGCTGCTTCATCTGTGCAACTCAGACAACTCCACAGCATGATAATACATGAACAACAGCACTCCAAAACAATAGCTAGAGAACTGGTGGACAGTGGAGTGTGCATGTAGCAGAGTCAAAGAGCTTCTTGCTAACACTTAACTATTCAGACCAAATCTGTACACAAACCTACGTAGGTCCAACACTCAGAATAACCTCCATGAATGTTATAAAAAGAACACAGATGGGACCAAAACAGGGTCAAACATTAGCTTTTAAGTGCAGTTACTATGGGAAGAGAAGGCAGCCCTTCATGGAAGAATGCTTCAAACCATGAAGACAGTAAGAGGTAGTATCTAGACAAATGTTGGGGACGTGTAGAGAGGGTTGTTTAAGCCTTTGCTTTGAGGTGAACACAGCTTCCAAAAAACAATCCTGCGCAAGACAGACATCTACCAATAACTGACTATCAATTTTCCCTACTTTTTCCCCACGTGCTTTTCCTCCTATGCTCCTCCCCAGCCAGTGGGGTGGTTGTGTTATCTGCACAGATTGCAATCACTATGTTGGCTGCAGCCTGCAAAGCCATGCCTGTACTTCCACAGCAGAACCCCCTCCTCCCTCCCTGCTATATTTTTGCTAACCTGCTTGTAGTCTGCAAATAAATTAAAGGCAAAAATGAATGGCTGTGGAACTGGCCTGGCTAATTTTAGCTGTGGTGTCACTAGCCTCTTGCCTTGTCATCCCTGGGCTAACACCACGAGTTATTCTCATGTGAAGCTCCAAGTGCACTGGCTGAGGGCTCCACCAGGTGAGTTAGGAAGAATTCTTTCCCATATGGCTGAGCTGCCTTGGCACAGAGGAATGTGTTCTCTTACTCATTCCATAAGGCAAATCCTTTTCCAAGAAGCAACCAGATTTTTTTTAAAAATATTTTTGTCTGCAAGTAACAAGTCTGCTCTCCCCAACTCAGACTCTCAAAAAACATCATCACATAATCTCCCTCACCCCTACAAATATTTAGCTAAGCTCATACAAATCAGCTGTTAAAGGACTCCAGAGAGAGACCATCTCATACCTTGAGGCCAGATCACATATACCTAACCCATTCCCGACAGACATCTGTCTGACCTGCTCTTAAAATAACCCTGGAGCTAGAAGCTCTGCAATCTCCTCATACAATCCACCCACTACCTCACTACCCACTCTGTAAGAGAGCTCATTATAACGTCTAGCTGTCCCCGCCTACAGCTGAGTCCCAAGACTACACATGGGATCTCACTACCAGCATGGAGAACACTCTGAAATAAGCACATTACTGTTACAAACACTCTTGTTTTGTACTAGTGGTGTCTCATTATTTACAATCAAGTACAATTTAATTCTATTAAAACGAGACATTCTAATTCTGCTTGCTTTGCAACCAGGTGATGCTAATGTGCTTGCATTCTTCCTTCTCAAGATGAAAGGAGAACAGGGTTAAGTTAAAAGAATTAAGTTCCACCAAAAATCAAGACACCAAAAAGACAAAATTGCACTTGGTACCTTGCAAGCATTTCTGTATTTCACAGGCTTGTTTCTGGCAGGGATCCTTCTGGGACATGTTCGGAGAACTAAAATGATAGGAAAGTGTTAATGTAGAAACAACGTGCTTTTTGCGGGGGGTGGGGGGGGCAAGACACTGTCTTAAAGCCAGGGCTTTAAAGAGCTCCCAATTTCCCTCTCTGTCACAGACAGTTCAGAAAACATCTATTGCTGCTTGCAGATGCCTGACAACATACACAAGAATTCTCTGTGTCCAGCTAAAGGATGATAATGTGGACAATGAATACGGGAAGTTTTATGTTCCTAGCTTGAAGGCCTTTTTCTTTGGTCAAAATGTGTCCTTTTCGACTTGGATGCACAAAGATTCCAGCAAAGATTCAAATTACACACGGATGACTAATTTTTAACAGTTCTGTGCCTCTACACCTATACTAAAACAGGTATTTGTGTAAAGGCTCTCTCTGTGAGCTCTACACAACCAAGGATTTGGTGTTAGTCATATAACTGCAGCTGCAGAAGGCATTTAAAAAAACAACCAAACAATACTTAGTTGTTTATGTCCCATAAAGACAATGAGGAGGGTTTTGGTTTTTTTGTTCCAGGAGGAAGTCTCTTGGAAATACTGCCCCCCCACCAAAAACAGACTGGAGGACAGCTCCACCTTGTTCAAATCCCTAGAAAACGGATTTCAGACACTCTATTTAATTTTCTGCATCTGTGACACCTGTAACTATGATCTTCTGTGAGAGATCAAAAGACGAGCAAAAACTGGCGGTACTAGTAGTTGGATGGGAGACCTCTACAGGAAAGCACCGCTGTTACTGAAAGCAGTGGTGGACTTCAGCTCCCTCTGAGCTGAAGTTCAGCTCCTTCTCCTGCCCAGAGCTAAGGAGGTGCTGCTTTTCAAATTTCTGATCATTCACCAGCCCACAGCACTTTTCTAGGGCATTATTTCCAGCATCCTGGCCAAACTCCACTTGGGGCAATTACATTCTGCCTACCTAGAACTCCCCCTGACGTTTCACTTGGACACAATACTCCTCTTCACTGCCTGTCCTAAACTCTTGTGTGATGTTGCTGTGTGCAGTTTGTTTAACTGCTTCCACCTCAGAGGTGGCTGCATTTCAGTGGAGAGAGAATCATTTATTGTACAAAATATACAACGACATCTTCCTAGAGACACTGCTCCTGAAAGAAAAAAATTCATATTAAAGAATGACTGGGAATAAACAGAGCATAGTACAAAGCAGGGGTAATGTCTACACATACCAGATTAATCACCAGGCACGAGTTTTAGCAGCAGTTCTTCAACACCACCAAGCTGTAAGCGACAAGGAAAAGTTCAATACGTCTACAGTTACTGTGGCTGAGCTAATGGACTTCAACAAAATAACAGTCCTTTGCCGTCCCTCAAGGATCTCAAATGACTTCACAAACAGGCATGACTATGGTCTATTGTTGCCACCATCCTTACCATGAGATGGTGCTCTATCTCCCAAACGCGAGAGTTACTATCCCTGTACTGCTCACCCTGGGACAGCTGCCACATGTGAGGCAGCCGGGATGGGGGGAGCTGGCTGGGTCGCAGCGCCTCACCCAGGGGAACCTGAACTCTTTGGATCCGAGCCCTCAGCATACCTTCCTCCTGGGGGAAAGTAACAAAAAGAGCAGGCAGTTACTGGCAATGCAGTAGAGGCACCTGCAATAGCAAAGCTACAATCACTGGGAAGCTCAAAGGACACTTGCCTCTTCCGCAGCCACAAGCCACGTTTTGCGGTGCTCATCGCAGTAAACACCTACGCGTCGCACCCACAGTCGGACAGGAGGAGCGCCAGCGTGCCCTCCTTCTGCCATTCCCTCAGTCACTTCAGGATGCTCCCGTTAGGTGGACGGCATCAACCAGCAGAATGCATACATGGTCTCTTTAGCTCTGAATACATTCACGGAGAAAGCTCTCAGACCTGAAAGGCACCTCTGGGGTGGCGTTTGACTTACTGTATGAGATGCTATGTGCTGAAATGTCCCTAAAAGTCAGCTTGGGAAACTAAAGTGGTGCCTAAGTGAACAGAAATTTCATGACAAGTTGTATACTGGGACATGCGTGCTGTATGGTGTTTGTAAGGCATTCTGGGGCAGAAGGTGCTATTGGTACAAAGTTAAACCCTGTGAATATTGGCTTTGCTTATTCCACTAACAGTCCTATTAACAGTCTCTGTGTAAAATAGGGAAAAAAAGGAAAAAGAAAAAAGTGATTTACACAGGAGTTCCGTGGCTAATGTTGGTCTAAATCCCAAAAGCAAAACTTGTGACAAGAGGTGAAATTAGCTTAACAAGAACGAAGATCACTCTGGAGACAAAGCATGAAACTCCATATGCACGACTCTCATATTTGGAACTTGCAGAGCTGTCATTGTGAAGGATCCTTCGTCTCATCTCTCAAGAGGATGTCAGCATTGTCCATTCATCTAGAAGCTTCTCATGAATAGCTCTCGTGACTTTGCGTAGTTCGGCTTTTAGATGGTTACAGAGAGCCAACGATACCAGCAGGGGCAAAGGAATTTTGGACATTGAGGTGGTTCTTCCTACCGGAATTTTTGTTTAACAGCAAGTTTATCTGTTTACCAGTTAGATCAAGCTGAGCCATTAGCAAATGAAGGTCAGGGAAAATGATTCTCTCTTTGAACCCTAGAAGAGGTAATCAAAATGGTACAGACAGTCTTCATTCTTTATCTAGGTTTAAAGTAGAACAGAATTAAGCTGTAATACATATAACATCCTCCTGCTATGAAGCAGATGCAATATTTCTATCCCAGTGAAACACAGTGGTCTTCTGAAAACTTGTAAAGTTATACGGCATATTACAGACAGGAGCAAGAAAATCTGGGTACAAAATAAAGTAGGGAAATTCAGGGAGATAAAAAAATTATTATACAGTGGGGTACATATATAACAGGAAATACACTTCCATGTAGCCTTATATATCATCAGTGCTTCTCTACCTTTTTGAATCAAAGGATCACTTAGCCTTTTTGAAAACAAAACACCAACCACGGATCAGCCTGAACAGCACTGTCACAGTATTTTAATCTCTAACAAAGAAAACTTTCAGTGTTCTTTTATTATTTATTTTTCTCCCATTCTGTTTGTTTCCTTGCTTGATGTGTGGGAATGTGTATATGCATTATAAAAAGCACCACTGTTCTGAAGATCATCCTGTGATGTGGTACAGCCATTCCAAGCAATGCACCAGCAGCTGGATCACTGGCATTTAGAGGAATGACAGCAATCTGACAAGCCTCACAAGGCCTCAAGAATAAGCTATGAGGGTTAAAGGAACGTTTTTGTAAGTCCTTTTCATTCTGCTTTACCCTAAGTCACTTTACAAATTTAAGCCCATGTGTGGAAATCACTTTGCCCAACAGTGAAATGCAGCAATCGCTACTGCTCGTTTTCAGTCAGCTGAATGTAACCACCCAGGTTGGAATTCGGCCAGGATACTCTCCTACTCTGCAGTGAACTGCCAAAAGCTCCGTCATGACCAAAAATGTTCAAGAACTTGCTTTTATTCCATTCAAAGCTGGGATTTCTACAGCACACCATCCCCAGAACCAGAAGACTCAAGACTGAATTCAGTATTGTAAAAATATTACTCTGTAAGTGATGACTATTTCCTACAGCAAGTAAACTCTCCTGGCAGGTCTCCTATCCAAATACTAACCTGGTTCAGTCTTGCTGAACTACAGGTAGGAGGACTAAAGCACAACATGTATGTTTGTGTTTATTGTGTATGAACATGGTAGTAATGATAGGTACAGGACTGACAGAACAAGGTCTCATGCAGAAGACACTGTGCAGAATGGGCAGCGGTTAACGTGTGTTTTCACCCTTTGCCCCACTAATTTGACCCAAACTTCCCCCGAATTCCATAGCTCCGAGTTCAGTTGCCAAAGTTCAAAGGCCCAGTCTGGCCTCTCTTTTCAACAGTCTCTAAGTTTCCTCTGTTATGAAGGTGCCCAGTTAGTGCCACAGATAAAAACTTGAGGTCAGGCAAAACCGTCAATTGGGTTTGAAGACAGCTCTGTCTTTAGTACTCAAACATACAAAAGAAAGAGAAGGTTTGAAAAAGCATGCGCTTAGACATTTGCACCTGAAACTTTAAAAAGGGGAAAACATATACAATTCCAATTTTTGCAGATTTTTATCAGAAAGCAATAAAAAAGCCTGAAGGAAGACATGGGTGCAAGGAGAAGTAAGCTTAATCATATTTAAAACAAGTTGTAAAACCTGTTTCTTATATTGCTTGCTTCATAATCTATTAAAAAAAACACCACATCCAACAAAAAAACAATCAGCTTAAATTTGCAGGATTGCAGCGTCATCCTTTGACACAGATTTTAATGTTTCCATCAACATAATTGCAGAAGTCTGAGCTGTTTAAGGTATTGATGTGGGGAGATTTAAAGCCCAAGTCCCACGGACAGGAACAAGACTTGCAAGTATTGTCTGCCTCAGCATTAGGCCTTAGAAGTTTAATGCTGTTCTGGGACCTGGGTGGATTTCTGAGCCATACAATATATGAATAAATGTGAAAATGGCCAGGAGGAGGACTGCATCTTGTGGTGAAGACAATTTATTTGCTTTTAAATTGGGTACATTAGAATATTTTATGAAAACAGTGAAAGAAATTGCTCCAGCTGCCATTTGGACCATCCCCAGAGCTGGTGCTCAGCGTGATGAACAAACTCCACCCTTTATTATCTTCTATTTTAAAAGGGGACTGGGTCAGATTTTTAGAAGAGTTCAGCTGCCATTTAGGCGGAAGGAAAAAAAGCGATGCTGAGGCTCAGCAAATTGGGCACAGTGTTGCGCTAACAT